AAGATGCTTTGATGAAGGGAGTAGTAAGTAGAATATATAATATAATTTCAGAACAAGAGGAAAAAGAGAGGGGAACAGAAGGTTTGAAATTAATATGGAAAAATTATTTAAAGACAGAAATTGAAATAGAGGATTGGATAAAAATGTGGAGGATGAGAGTTAATGTTGATAAGAATGAAGGGAAAAATTAAAATCTGTTTAAGGTGGTATTTCACTCCTGTGAAACTGAATATAATAAATTCAGATTACTCTAAAGCTTGTTGGAAATATGATGAAGAAATTGGCACGTATTATCATACGTAGTGGGATTGTAAATTGGTTCAGAAATTTTGGAAACTGGTTTTTAAGGAAGCATGTGATATATTTGGTAAAGATATTGAATTTAACTCTAAAATTGTTTTGTTGTCAATTTTTTATTAGACAGGTGTTGATTATTATTCAAAGGAATTGATTTCTAACTTTATGACAAGTGCTAGAATATTAATATATAGGTTTTGGAAAGATAAAAATATTAAATTAGAAGATTGGTATAGTGAAGTATGGGGACATTGCATTAAATGATAAATTGACTACTGAACTCAAGATGAAAAGATGGGAAATAAGTTCAAATATTTTTATGCTATTTGGGGTAGATTTGTTGAATTTGTACTAGTGAAGGGAAAGGGGAAAGCCTCAAAACAACAATCTATACAATTTTGGAAAGGAAGTTTGTAATAAAAATATTGTTCAATGGGGTCCCATGGATATGGGGTGCACGGTAGAATTGAATGTATAGTAAACACTATTTTTGTATTTTTGTGTTTGTTTTTGTTCTAAAAATAATAAAAACAATTTATTTTAAAAAAAGAATAACCATGTCAAAAGGCCTCACGGCATGCAGGCCCCTTTAGATCAGGATTGAGTTGTGCTAACCTGAAAATAATAAGTAAGAAACTGGAAGCCAATCCAAAACCTCACAAGACCCAGAGTTGGGGTACCCAGAGAGAGAAAAAAGCAGAGGAAATATGTCTTTGGAACCCAAATGACATTCCATTCAGCAGTATGCCTGCCCTAGTGAAGACCTCGTTCTGAGGAGAGAATACTAATGTCCCTCTGAAAGTAACACACTGTGTTTCTTTTTTTCTCTCTCAGAAAAGGCCTAGCATCCAGTATGGAGAAAAAGAGGTTTTCACCTCCGTTTGATGCTTAAAAGGACACAATAACAAAAGCAGGATTGGAGCACAACAGAAATTTTGGCTTGTTTTGGAAACTGATTAGGAAGACTGAATTATAATGCCCAACCCAAAAGGGGCTGCAAAGGCACAGATGGAGTTCAGAGGAATGGGATGATTCAATGGAAACAAAAGTGTGATGTTGTTGGGAACTAGCATTCTGCAGCAGAAGCCAACATGCTGAGAAATTGCAGTACAGAGGCATTTACCCTTCCTCTCTTCTTCTTCTTTTCTCCTCCTTCTCTGATCTCAATCAGTTGTTTTAATTAATCAGTTAAACAATCAGCCAGTAGTCTTCAAGTAGTTAGAAGGGGTGGAAGAAAAAAGCACTTCCAGAAGTGGTAGTCTTCTGTAGTCATACTTGACTAGCATTTAAAAAGGGCACCCTCTCCTTGACTTTTCAGGAGAATTTGTATCTGTACAGCAGGGATGGGAAAATCTCTGGAAATCTGGGGTCTGATATTTTATTTTATTTTATTTATTCCATTTATACCCTGCCTATCTGGTCATTGCGACCACTCTAGGCGGCTTACAACACAACATATGCTGCTCCCAGAAGCTTGGGAGGCTCTACCTTCTCCATCTTTTGTGACCTTCAACTCAAAAATGTTTCTTTGCGCAAACTGAGAGGGGGGATTTAACTGTAAGAGCCCTTATATTGTTGCTACTGTATTACCTATCAGTTTCTGAAGGGTGACTGAAAGTAGGAGTCACAGTTAGAGGGTCAGTGTTCAGATGTCCTCAATCCTTGTGGGTGGGATTACATTGTTAGGAGAAGTGCAGTTTATCATGGGCTAGTGTCAGGGAAACTTATAAATTACAATGAAATACAAGAGGCAGCCAGTTACCCCACCTGTGTATCCTATAGACACCCACCCTTCATTATCTCTATAAATGTCACCTCCATCATTAGGTTAGGGCAGTGATTAACTGAGCCTCTTCTATCCAAAGATAGTTCCTATCCACTAATATTCCACATTGCATATATCTTGCCCTCCCCTACGCAGGACCTGAGCAGACAGAACTGCCAAACTATTGTGTGCCATGCAATTCAGTGATACTCTAAAAAAGAAATAGCTTTCATGTCCAGCTGTGGGGATTAACTATGCATTTCGCAGCTTGTTTTCACTGCCTTTGTCTTATAGGCAATAAAAACCTCACTGTCAGCAGGTCTCTGTGGGGTCACTAGCTCCTATTAACATACAAACTCCAACAGCAGCAGCACTGTTCAGAAAAGAGGCTGTGCCCTTAAGAGGCCGCCTGGCATGACAAGAGCCTCACTCCTTTTCAGTGCCCTCCTAGTTTCAGTTGGATATTTGAATGTACTGAAATAGGAGGTACGGCTGCAAAAAACCCCCAAGATTTCCATGTCTCTGCTTTCCTTAAAAGGGGAACTTCTAGAGAAGAGTGCTGAACCACTTTCAGGCTTGCCTTCCAAATTTCACTTATTTATCCATTTTCAAGACAATCTCATCTCGGTGATTTTCTGAAATTTATTTATTTATTTATTTATTTGATTTGATTTATATCCCGCCCATCTGGTCTGGTCGTCCACTCTGGTTATGTTAGCCAAGATTAACACAGATCCAGAATGTGAATATTAGAGTTTCAAAAGTGTAGGCGAAATTCCTCTTCAATCCCTCCCTTCTTATATTTCTTAATTTGCCAAGTCCCTGGCTCCTTTACCTTTCAGTCCTATATGGCTTGTGCAGTAAAACTTTAACAGCTTATCAAAAATGTGGTTTATAGCAACCTTAGAGGGCAACACATCATATCTTGATTGTCCCTTAACTCAGCCACAGCGACTGACAGAAAATCTCGGCACATTCTGTACTGTGGTTTAACACCAACCAAATGCAATTAAACATATACATATGAGCAAAGGAAGGGTTTCTTTATTTTTATAAAGAGTAGGAGAACAGGCAAAGAAGAGCTGAGTCAGTTCTAATACAGTATGTCACTAGACAAAAATTCAGATGCCTGTATTGCATTATTAGATGTGAAGAGAGGCAATGTTCAATAACCTCATAGAGAAAAGTCTTTTCTATAAACAGCACTTCTGGGAGATTTTTTTCCCTAGGGCTTTGTCTGAAATCAGGCATAAGGATCAAAGTTTAGCAGCATCTGAAAATTTGGACCAGCTAATAAACAAATGAATGGAGGAAGCACTTCAAACCCAGCCATCCATTGAGGATTCTTAATGGCAGAAGTAGATGAAATCAGGAAATAATATTAACATCTACCAGGATATTGATCTTAAATCAGTGCCACCTACCAGATGCTTAATCAGTAGTCTTGGGGAAGAAGAACAGGCAAACAACAACAGTGAGTCAGAAGCCCAATCCTCAGTTTATTATCTATCTGCTGACCGAACATGTGAAAGGAAATTGCACCAAACTGCAGTCCCTGGGTGTAGAATATTTACTGGTTCTACCCATCCCATCCCAACTTCCATGCACTTGACCAATAGGAAAGAACAGACTCCATTAGTGTGCCTAAAGGCTTGTTCTTAGAATTAAAAATGCTGGTATTCCAAGGTTCATGTCTGCAAATACAAACCAGCTCATGCATCAAGTATGACTAAAGCCCATTCTTGCCTTCACCTGAATGCACAGATATCATGGCAAGAATAATCAATGTCATCCCGCCACCACTCCATATGTTTGGTCAATGTGTGGACAATCATATAAGAACTGGGCTGGGATCCTGGAGACACTTTGGTCTATTTTCTGGAACCTGAATACATCAGCCTGTTCTCATTGAGACCTTAGGGTCACCTTCTGTTTTAGAAATAGCTGGGTAACAAAGGTGTAGGTAGAATGGCGTTCTCATTGAGGAAAGCCTATTGAGGAAATGCTCCATCTTCCAACTTTTCCCAAAATGAGGCAGCAGAAAGCCTCCATCCCTTGTTGAGCTATATTCGGTCTTTTTGTTGTTAATGAGAAATGGTATGATGCAAATAAAAGAGTTATAGTACAGTTATATATATATATATATCCTCTCCACTCCCCTGCCCCTAAATCAGCATCTCCTAAGTACGTATACTTAGAAAGCAATCATATGCAGCTGCCTTCTTTAATGCAATTGTAGAAACTTGCTTTGCAGAAAGTACAGTTGCATGATTTCTTCTGCATTCTCTTCTGCATAAATAACAATCGGAAATGAGAGAACGGAGGCTCACATTCATTGGGAAGTATATGTTGCATAAGAAGAAACCGCAGTTACTCACTTGTAGTGCTTCCTGACATCTGTATGATACATTTGGAATCCTTGCTCATTTCACGGGAGTTGAAGGGGCGCACCCGCACTGCCACCTTTACAGACGCTCCTGCCATTGTGAGGGTCTAGACTTTTTTCTTCCCTTGTAAGTTTTATACTTCTGAAAATATCCTGCAAGAGACAGGAAAAACATGTTACAAATGTCCTTTTTTTAAAAAAAGGCACTGCATTGCCCTGCAAGCAATTTTTATGTCCTGTAACTGTAGGTCTGCAGGAGGCCACACACACTGAATATAACTTCATGCTACACTAAATGAGTAGTGTATCACTAGTGTCATTTTCTCTTTCTACTCATAAATAGTAGGGCCTAACCTTGGCAGCACCTACAATGCATGGGTAATGGACGTCTGCAATCGTGAACCTTACCTTCTGATCAGTTTGTAATCTGAACTTCATGGGTTTCTTTTACGTTTCAGTTGTAGCATAATAAGAAATATGTGCCCATAACTATGGTCACCATTGAAGAATACTTCCTAGTTTCAGATTGTTTGCTACTGAAGGTCATTTAAGACTCACAAAGGATTGTGTGGCACCTATATTGGATGTACTCTCTCCAGAGATGGGAAAAGTTACTTTTTGACTACAACTCCCACAATGCTGTATTCTGGGAGTCTTGGTCCAAAAAAGGTAACCTTTCTTATCTCTGAATTTCTTTACTAATCAAAAACTTTTTATTTGTCCAGACCTTTTAATTCGACCTGCTGATGGCTTTTATGCTGCCTTTAAAATAATCCTTTGTATATTTAAATGTACTTTTATTGTTATGTTAACCGTTTCAAAGCCACTCAGGAATCTTTGAAGAGTGCTATATTGATTAAATGTTATTTCAGAGTACAGTATTTATATTATGTTTTCACAATCTGTAGACACATTTGTTTACATATTATCTTATCTAGGTCTTCTGTTTAGGGTTAAATTCTCTGAATAAGCAGGCAGATTAAAAATTTAACATTTGACACTAGTATGTAGATATTATAAAATAAATCATTATTTTGTGGCCAAATAAAATATTGGTATATACAGAATACTGTCACTTTATACCAAAACAGACAAGACAAACATTGGCAGTGTGGTGGGAGAATTATACAGCTACAACACAAACGTGGGCAGGGCCTGATCAAGTTGGAAATCGGTGTTATTTGATATTAAATGTAACCATCATCTGGGCAAAAGCAACAGCATTCTGGATTTGCTTCTTTTCTCACATACATTATATATATGAAGGATAATCTCTGGTTTCCAGAAAATGAACATCAAGATCCCTGCCTTATAATAATGTTGCATCTTAGTAAGTAGTCTTCTGTGCTAAAAGCCTCTGTACTGTACTTCAACCTGACATTCTCCAGATCTTTCAGATTGCAGGTCATGTCATCCCTGACTATTGGCCATGTTGGCATGGGCAGATGGAGGTTGTAGTCCAAAACATCTGGACAGTGCCACGTTGTTGGAAGGCTGCCGTAATACATAAGGTAATGTTTGTAGAAGGTCCACCAGAAAGCACAATTAATCCTGGTGGATCCAGTTAACTTAATAGGGATTACTTAACAAGATTCCCCTTAAATCTGTGGCATTATCTATTCTGCCAACACTCACATGATCTGAGCACTTCATGGCTGGCCACCAGCCAGCTACTGGACAAGAGAAAGTCTCCCCCAAAGTTCTTCCAACTACTTCTTGCCTAGAGTTGCAAATGTCATTGGCAAAGATGTCGGAGGAGATCAGCTCTAGCTACTCCCACTTACCCAAATTTTGGGGGATGCCCTGATCCCTAGTCCATGTGAGCTAACCCTAGTTCCCGCTATATATTTGTTTTTACAGCAAGCTTTGAGAATCATTGTGGGAATAACAGTCATAAACACAAGAAAAAGAAAAGCAATTTCCTACTAGGCAATTCCTACAGGAAAGATGCACAAACAAGCAAGAATCCTTAAACTGAATTCTCCCCAACACTGCCTAGGCCAGGATGGCATCAGAGTATTTCACAAGGAGCTGAAGTTCCTCAGAGGAGAAGGACAATTTCAGAATATCCAAAGCCAAATGAAGATGTGAGGAATACTGTAGCTCCCCTCTTATTTCCTCTTTCCACAAGATCCTCTTTCCAAGGCTGATATTAAATTGCATCAGTCTGGCTTCTCTGCATATCTGAGTAACAGAGCTCAGCCTCCGGGGCCAATCTTCCAGGTTTGTTTTCAGTATAAATAATTAAGTGAGCTAAATGCAGCACTCTGCTCAGCCACAACCCTCTGCTACATCCAGGATTCTCTGCTTCCTGATGGAAGGTAGGAAGTTCTAGAGAAGCCAAGGAAACAACAAGGAATGGGAAATAAAAGCAGTTCTTTAGGGTTAACCAGCAACTGTGGTCTGTGTGTGTTCTGTGTTGTCAAGTCAGAACTGAGTTATAGCGACTTTAATAGGGCTTCCTGTGCTGCAGGGTCAGAAGACCAAGCAGTCATAAGATCGAATCCACGTGACGGAGTGAGTGCCCGTCGCTTGTCCCAGCTCCCGCCAACCTAGCGGTTCGAAAGCATGCAAATGCAAGTAGATAAATAGGGACCACCTCGGTGGGAAGGTAACAGCGTTCCGTGTCTAAGTCACACTGGCCATGTGACCATGGAAGACTGTCGTCGGACAAAACGCTGGCTCTATGGCTTGGAAACAGGGATGAGCACCGCCCCCTAGGGTCGAACACGACTGGACAAAAATTGTCAAGGGGAACCTTTACCTTTTACCTTTAACAGTTGTACTCCCCCAGTGAGTTTCTACGGCCAGCTGGCGATTCAAACTCTGGTCTCCAGAGTCCTAGTCAGTCACTCTATCCACTACGCTACATTGAGAATCCTCCATATATACTACATTTTGCCTTATTCTGCTGCTGCAGAGGGATGAACCATCCTGAACTTAGTTGGAGCTAGCCAGATGTGTAGTCCACCCTAGCACAAAACTAAAAATGTATTCTCGGATAGAAGTCCCAGGGACCATTTGCTTCCTTGTGAACATTTCTTGGGCAGTGATCTCCATCATAAAATGTGCAACTGAATGAAGTCTGGAGGAACAAAAAACATGACTAATTCAAGTGGAGTTCTTCAATCAACTATCTTTGTAGAAGTCACATAACTCCACAGCTTCAGATCTGTTGCAACCTCCCCTTGAGTCACAGAATCATAGCTTTATAAAACTGGGATGGAGTCTTATCCATCTAGTCCAGTCCTCTGCTCAAGGTGGAACATCCAGAGCCAGAGCATCCCTCTTGGCTATCTAGTGTCTGTTGAAGACCTCCAGTGAAAGAGAGACAACCAGCCTTGTAGGTAAATAGTTCCAATGCTCATCTGTTCTTGCCATCAAAATGTTTCTCCTAACGTTGACCCAAAACTTTCTGTCCTACATAGGCAATGGCAATTCACCTCGAGAAGAAGGATATTAAGGTGAGGTGATTTGTTCTTGACTACATTCAGTACCTCTTGTACATGTGACTAGTATGCAATAAAAGACTTTTGGTTTTCTAATTGCCAGTTTTCAGTGATCAAATTCTTGCAGGACCACACCTGCTTCTAACATGTGGAATGCTTCTTCCACAGTGCTAATGAACGTTACATTTTCATTACTTTCTTCTGAAGCACATTCCTCCACTTTTTTCCTAGAAAAGCTCCTGCGTGTAGTCACAGCCTAGGCTGGGGGGTTATGTGGGGCCCTCCCACTGATTTCATTAGATTTCAGCAGCCCTAACTATAATTACCTAATGGAAATTGTAGTACAAGAATGTGTGCAGGTTCCTCCACAAGGCAGCTTAGGCTACATTTGGGTATGGGTGCTAGAACTTCACAAAAGGATATAGCTATTCTTCAGCCTAAGCACTGCTGCCCTACCAAAATATTATACAATATTTAGAAGATTATAAAGTGCTGACATTTGAATCTATCATAATTGAATGGAAATCAGTTTCTGCGGGCACAAGCCTCCACACAGATATTAAAGAGATAGATAGTCATACTGTAGCTAGTTTCCCAGATAGCTGCTCCTTTCTGCTTGCATCATAGAGCTGTCCAATAGCTGCCAACTCTGAAAACAGATATGACTAAGGATCAGAGCTATATGCTAGGAAGGAAATCCATGCCTCCCAAATACATGCTCTTAATACTAGAGGCCAGCACTATGACTATGACTTTGAGAAGCATGGTTTTCCTTCCTAACATATAGCTCTGTTCACTGTACAACCCAGAAGAGCCAGTCTGTGCTGCCCTGGGCAAGCTGTACAGTCTCAGGATGCACCTAGAAGAAGGGAATAGTAAACTACTTCTGAGTACTAGAAAACCCTGGAAAGAGTTACCATAAATCAGGGGAGTTGATCAGCAAGAAGAGATGCTTAATTCTTGGTAATTCTTCTGCCTCCTTACTCTTCCCCTACATCACTCCAGAGACATTTTAACTAATTTCCTCCCAGCCGGCATCCTGCATACAATTCAAGCATAGAAGTTAAGCAATCCTCTCCACTACATAATATTTCTTCCCTGCAAGTATCCCAACTCCTAAACATGGATGATTTTGCTAATGCAGATTTTCAAATACATATTTGCTGATATAATATGTAAGTTCTAGTCTGTTTTTCCACCTGCAGTTGCTGCTGCTAGCTTACTTTTCTATCTATCTATCTATCTATCTATCTATCTATCTATCTATCTATCTATCTATCTATCTATCTATCTATCTATCTATCTATCTATCTATCTATCTATCTATCTATCTATCTACCTACCTACCTACCTACCTACCTACCTACCTACCTACCTACCTACCTACCTACCTACCTACCTACCTACCTACCGTATATGGGGAAACCTAATGTGATCACATCAGAGGGGGGTAAGACAGCTGCATGGAGGAAGGCAGAGGAACCTGCGCACACACCCAGCTGAGGGAACCTTGCTTTTGAGTAAACAGACATAGAAACACAGAACAATGGCGCTAGAAGGGGCCTATAAGGCCAATGAGTCTAACCCTCTGCTCAGTGCAGGAATCTAAATCAAAATATATCTGAGAAAAAGTAATCCAATTACTCACTACCTCATAAGGTAATTAGTTCAATTGTTGTACTGCTCTAATAGTTAGGAAGTCTT